TGTCGAGTCGGGGATGAAGCAGAGCACACTCACACACACACACACACACACGATCGCCAAAGTAGCAGCGCTCTAATTACAGGTTACGCACTGAAAGGGCAGCCCAGAGGGGCAATCGTCATGGAATCCGAAGTGCGCACTGTGTGTGTGTGTGTCTGTGTGTGTGTGAGTGTGTGTGTGTGTTTCCCCTTCTAGTAGAGCATACGAGTGCCTGGAGGCATCGGACTCCCAGAAAATGGGCTTTTTCGTGAGAAGGCGGGGGAAAAAATGTACGAGGGGTTATCGAATCCGCCGCGCCGCCCTTGCATGGCTCGGCCAGCGAGCTTTTCCTTCGCACTCTTAAATATATTTTTATCCGAAAAAGAATATTTATCGAAGGCCGCAGCGGATCCCAGTGAGAGGGCGGGAAGGCGCACAGTGGGCCAGAAGACCGGCGCAGGTGGCTGAAACGCTAGACGCGTTTTGAGCTCCAGAGTCGCTATATGGGACTCGAACCGAACGTGTGACCCCACCAATGGATTCCTCGTTCGGAGAGCAATCTATTGGTGGGGTCACACGTTCTCTTCGAGTCCCATTAGCGACTCTGGAGCTCAAAACGCGTCTCGAGCTTTGGCCGCCTGCGCCGGTCTTCTGGCCCACTGTGCGGCGGTGGGGGAAGTCCGCGCGACACGCGCGCGGTCCGTTTCCCTCCACCCCCACCACCCAGTTGGTCGGCGTTGGAAAAATGGACCGCAACATTGTCATGGACGGGCGTACCGCAGCGTGGCACAGCGTGGGCCGCCCCGCCCCTCCCCAACCCCTTCCAGCGCCGCCAAGCCAGCCAGCACACTGAGAGTCGTCGCTCTGTCTCCCTCGCACCCTTAGGGGACGCTCCGCGAGTGCGAGAGAGACAGAGCGACGACTCTCAGTCTGCCGAGCCAAGCCGGCGCTGCAACCAACAATTAACCTGACGGGTCCTAAGTCTCGGCAGTCCAACTGTCAGTGACTAATGCCGACCAATGGCATCACAAACCGCCCGGCCGTGGCGAGCCGGGCTAATTCGTTTATCATACCGGCCGGCTTTCTTTGCATTGCCTAAGTGCGTGGGGGGGGGGGGGGGAGGGTTGAGCCGCGGCGGCCACCCTCGCTGCGCCCCGCGGGGCCTGTCGTCCAGGCCGGCCTGTCGGAGCCATTCGGATAGTTTCCTTCATATTTATCTCCGGCTGGGCGAGTAGGAGTGGACAAGCCGTGGCCGCCGTTGGTTGCCTGGTGCCCCTGGAGGGGCTGTCGCTGTCTCTCTCGCACCGCTACGGGACGCTTCAAGAGTGCGAGAGAGACAGAGCGACGAAAACGACTCTCGGAATCAGTCTGCGAGAAGGGCCTAGCAAGGGGCCCGGCGCACAGTGGGCCGCCTCCACCGGTCTTCTGGCCCACTGTGCAGCGGGGGCGGAAGGAGATTCGAGGCGGATACTCCTCGTCAGGAGGGACCACCATGCACATCAAATGCAAAACTTGAGAAAGATAAAAAGAAACGAGAGGGAACGCGACGAGCTGCTTGGTTTTCACGCACTGTCGCCTTGCATCTCCTGCGTATGCCTCGTTGACCGGCTGTACAGTACAGTATCACAAAAAAATGACGTCCTGCAAGACTTAATAAAATAAAAAAATAAAAAAAAAGGCTGCGGTATTTTTTGAGGAAATTTGGGAAAAAATTGAAAATTATTCAATGGAAGTGAAATATTGATTTCTCGCGGTGCACTTGAGCCGGACTGACCGGGTCCTTCTTCTTCCTATTGGGAGCCACCAGTACGGCCGCGCGTCGCGAGCTCTTCTCTCTCTCTCTCTCTCTCTCTCTCTCTCTCTCTCTCTCTCTCTCTCTCTCTCTCTCTCTCTCCCTCTCTCTCTCTCTCTCTCTCTCTCCGATGCGAGTTTATCCTGAGGATCTCCGGCCGTACCCTGCAATTAAATATAGCCAGCCTATAATTATGGCCAGTAAATTTGTGGTTGCGGATAAGACGCGCTGCGTGCCGGGCCGGCCGGCCGGGCCTGGACGCTGCTGCCGGTGGTACTGCCGGCCGGTCCATCTGACTCGCATCCCATCGTCACCCTTGAGTGATAAAGAAGTATCAAGTTTTGATTAATTGTCGTTTTTTGTTTTGCCGCTTATTATTTTTGTTTCACGGTGTTGCCTTTCGTGCGTATAAATCCGCGTTCAAAGCCGGCCTCATCCTTGCTGGTGTGGACTTTGTATATTTATTTTTTTCAGTGAAACTCCGCTATGGTCATCATAGTTTCAGTTTTGATTTTATTGTTTTTTAAATCTGTGTTTTTTGACGTTTGAACGGCCGCCAGAAGGCTGGGGTGGGCGCCCAAGACTCTAGACGCGTTTTGAGTCGCTAAAAATGGATTCATCGTTGGGAGAGCAATCCATGGATGGGGTCACACGTTCGACTCGAGCCCCATACCGACTCTGAAGTTAAAAACGCGTCTAGAGTTTCGGCCGCCTCCGCCGGTCTTCTGGCCCACTGTGCCGAGGTGTCCAATGAGCGTCGCCCTTGCTTCCTTCGTATGCAAATCCCCGTTCGAGTCCCTTCCCACCTCGGCGCGGCTGGAGGGGGGGGGGGCAGGCCAGGAGGTCAGCCAAACATGGGCGCCGCGGGGCGGGGTGGCGGTTCCCCTTGGGTCCCCTGTGGGCCGTGTAGTTTGAAGGACGCGCACCTATGCGCTGTCCTCGGCGCCCCAAGTGGCCCCAAATTGGTCCAGCACACTGGGAGTCGCTTTCGTCGCGCTGTCTCTCTCGCACTCGTTGGCGCCCCGCATAGCAGCGAGCGAGGCGGAGCGACGAAAACGACTCTCGGAGTCAGTGTGCCGGGCGCCGCTCGGCCGCGCCCCGCGAGGTGTGCCATGCGGGTCCCTTGCCCTCCACGCGGCGCGTGTCCCGTCCTTCTCGCTCTCCGGCGGCACGCCCCGTGAGAGCGAGGAAGACAGAGCGACGACAACACAGTCCGGCCCTGCCCGGCCCGGCCCTGCGCTGCATCGCCCCGGTCGCGTTATAATAATCTAGCTCGCCTTGACCGGCGCCACGTGGAACCGCGCGGGAAAGCGTGCGAACGACCGGCCGGGGATGGACGGTTTCAATTTGAGCGTTCCTTCCTGCGCACAGTGGGCCAGAAGACCGGTGGAGGTGGCCAAAACTCGAGACGCGTTTTGAGCTCCAGAGTCGCTAAATGGGACTCGAACCGAACGTGTGACCGCACAGCTGTTGTTCATGTTCGTATGGGGGCCTTTGCGAACTGTTTGCGTGGTACCTCGGGCATTTCGATCGCTTCTTAATTAACACCTCGTTCTGTCTCTCTCTGTTCCAGGTAAGCGCTTCGGCCCGCGGACCAGCCCTCTATCTCTAGATGCCCGCTGGATACGAGGTTTGACTCCAGGAACTGGAGAGGCGTGGCACAGTGGGCCGGAAGACCGGTGGAGTTGACCAAAATTCTAGACGCGTTTTGAGCTCCAGAGTCGCTACATGGGAGTAGAACCGAACGTTTGGCCCCACCAATGGATTCCTCGTTCGCAGAGCAATCCATTGGTGGGGCCACCCATTCGGTTCCAGTCCCATTTAGCGACGCTGGAGCTCAAACCGCGCAGGGGTTTTGACCGCCCCCACCGGTCTTCTGGCCCACTGTGCCTTGTACCGTCGGCAGGGGCGCCTGGGCGGCGAGGGGCGGAGTGGCGCTGGGGCCACGCTATGGGGGCGGGGCGGCGTCTGGGGCGCAAAGGGTTGCAAAGTGTGTGAAGGGTTTGGCGCCGGCTGATGTGGGAGGCCCGATGATGACCGCTGTCATTAGGCGGGGCTCACATTACGGTGTGGGAATGTCTCGTGTCTCGGCTGTCGGCGAGGCACAGTGGACCAGAAGACCGGCGGAGGCGGACAAAACTCCAGACGCGTTTTGAGCTCCAGAGTCGCTTTTTGGACATCATTTTTTGCCAGTACCTGATAAAGTACTCCAGGTGGACATGAAATAAGACGGCAAGGTTTGAGAAAAAAAGTGCGCATAAAACGGTCAGTGGAGAAAATTTTCGTTCCGCTCCGCCGAGACAGTCTATTGATATATTGAAGCTAAATAAAGAAGTAGTTAGAGGGGTAGATGGTGGGTTCGCGATAAGTCCACTAGGTCCTCTGGATGGGCACTGGCTGGGGAGGGGGCGTGGGCGTGGCCTGTTACGGTTTAGTGACCAATGAGGTATCGCACCCACACATGCGCACTAATTCATTCAGACGGGAACCCTTTTCCTTATCTTCTATCTGTATTGGCCCGCTGGTTCTCAGCCGGGCCCTCTCGGCGGCCCTCGGCCCAGCGTGAGGTCCGAGCTACAAAAAAGTTCTCACCATAGTTTCCTCTTTATTGCAGCAATGCTACACTGCTTTTCTTTAAAGATGAGCGCTTCGAATCCCTCATTAGCGGAGCCTAATTTACCGGCGCTTTTCGAGGGAGCGCCAGGAAGGAAGCAGTTTTGGCGGAAGAAACTTAAGTTCTTCCGCTAGAAATGTGAAGAAGCGGAAACGTGTAAATGCTCTTGTCACTTTTTTTTTCTTTTTTCAAATGCCATTTGTGTGAGAATGTCAAAGCAGACTGGTCGGAACTCAGTTTTTCAGGCGTGCTGATTGCACAGCTTCCTCGAATTTTTGTACATTTAATACTTGAATTAATCAAACCCAAGCGAATATTTGTAAAGTAAAAGTCATGGAACGCGTTGTCCTTGCGAAGCGGCCACCTTCACCGAGTACCTCAACGCGATCCTCCTGCCCTGCGCGTATTGAAATGAAAAGCAAAGACCACTGCAGGGGGCAGAGGGGCAGGGGCCCCGGGTGGGGGCAGAGCCGGGCCGGGCGGGAGGTGGGGATTGGCCGCCCGGGAGGGAGTGGGAGCGAGACGGACTGGAGGGGCGCAGTGCTCCTCTTCGGGCTATGATTACCAGTGCGGGATTATTATCATTTACGGTGTAATGCCCGGCGAGGGCGCGCTGCCTCGCTTTTCGGTGCACCAGTGTGCCACGCCGCACACGACCGACTTGTTGACCAGTGAAAGTGCCGGATAAGTGTTGCGAGTGAAAATAATCGGGTCGCTCTGCGAATAATGACTGGGATTCGCCCGTGTTAATGGCCGGCTAACGCGTGTCGAACGGGCTCCTGGTTGATTTCTAGTGCCGCGTGAGGAAATAGGCGGATCCGTGTGTGTGTGTGTGTGTGTGTGTGTGTGTGTGTGTGTGAGTGTGTGAGTGTGTTTGTGTGAGTGAGTGACTCTGGCTGGTTCTCGTCACCGGTTCAGCGTTGGTTCTGTGATACGCGAATGTGCCACGAAAAGGCCCCGGACTGTGCCCCCGCACGGGAAAACGCGACCATGGCCAGCAGCAGTTGCTCCTACCCGTCGGCCCTGCACTACCAGCAGTCGAGTGGTTCCGCTGGGACGAATGGCTACCTCGCTCCGGACGCCAAGGTATGAGAAGTGTCATTCTGGGCTGGTTGGCCGGGAAAGCGGGTTTCCCAACCACGCTAAATACTTGTCTGTACTGAGTAGCTGAAACGAAAAATTTGGACAATTTCAACTAGATGGTTGGATGGTTCACTTTGGCTGGTTTGGTCGAGTAACGTTTGAGTAACGTGCTGAGCGCGGCGTTTTCTCGGCTTTTGTGATGAATCCCCCTCTTTCGGTGAGTCACCTCAAACTCCGAGTCAAACTCGTTTCGCGTGCTGCATTATGCAGGATGCACTCGCTACACGTTTACCAACACGGAGGTGCGGGCCGTGGTGCTAAGTACAACAAGTTTGGCTCTCGCGTCGGCCAAACTAGACCCAACTGCTTAGGGGCACATGTACCTGCGTCGAGCATGATGGTCACAAGAAAAAAAAAAGGTTTTTGAACCACTTTTTGAATTCAATTGAAACCTTCAAGTTATTTTTCTTTGTGCAAGTATATTATCTTGGTACGAGAATCGGCTTTTTTGGATGTAGAAGTTTGTGACAACGACATTCTGACTAATTTTCCCAGCGCCTTCCATGTCGAGGAGCGGGGTAATTCCGGCAGTAAATTCAGCTAGAGCCGCGCCTAGCCTCCTAGTGGACACCTTCCCATTGATGGTTCTGCCTAAACGCTCCCCCTCCCCCCTCTCCTTTCTCCGTTGCCTCTATCTTTCCGTCTCTTCCTCATCACTTATCTAGATTTATTCCCGATTGTCATGTCCATTGTTTCGGCCGACGGCTCGTACGGCGTCCATGAAATCGTCCAAGGACGTCTCCCGTTCCGAGCGACTCCTTCTTTTTGTTCTTTTGCACGGCGACGAAAAATTCAACACGGAAAACACTTTTTTTATTCCACTCTTAGTAAAAAGTGTGCGAAGCATCTCTTCGTAATACGAAGAAAACGAAGGCATTGTAAAATCTATCGAATCGAAACATTATTCGCATTATGAAGCTAAGCAGCTAAATCATTCGTGCTGATTTCAAAGCAATTCTACAATGCCTTTACAACTGCCTTAATCTACGTGCTTCGTATGCTTTCCAGTAAATTTTTCTCGCAAACAAGAAAAGCTTGCTTCCATATTTTCGCTAAAATTTTACTTCTCAGCCACGCCTCCGGTTTTCTCACATTTCTCATATCGTCTGCTGCGAGTCCATTTCGGATGGCATATTTTACGAGAACACGGCGCAAACAAAAAGACGAGGCAACGACTCGTTGAGATTTTCTCACGGAAACGTGCCGCTCGCAGTGCACACATCCGCTTTTGTTGCTGAATTCGTTTTTATCGTCTGCAAAGGAGTCGAGGAGGCTTCCTGCGATGTGTTTTACGCGCGTGCCGGGGCCCTAATGCAAGACGCCGCTCGCTAGGAATCTCTCCCCCCCCCCCCGCTTCACCCTCCCCCTCCCCCCTATTTTTTCTCCCACAGGATTAAAACCCGCAGCGCCGCCATTGTTTTGGGGACAGTATTTTTTCCATGGCGCCTATTCCATGCTCATAATGTTGGCCCCCCCCCCTCCTCCTCTCTTTGAAGATTTCCTCTAGCCTATCTGATACTCTGTTCCGTGGTGGTGCAGATTCATTGAAAGGTAGGCAACCCGGGCTCACCTGTGTGTTCGGGTTGCCTACCCGGCAGGCTGACCGCCTGCAAGTAGGCAACCCGAACACACGCGTGCATCCGGGCTGCCTACCCGCCAGGCTGGCCGCAAGTAGGCAACCCGAACACACGCGTGCATCCGGGTTGCCTACCCGCCAGGCTGGCCGCAAGTAGGCAACCCGAACACACGCGTGCATCCGGGCTGCCTACCCGCCAGGCTGGCCGCAAGTAGGCAACCCGAACACACGCGTGCATCCGGGCTGCCTACCCGCCAGGCTGGCCGCAAGTAGGCAACCCGAACACACGCGTGCATCCGGGCTGCCTACCCGCCAGGCTGGCCGCAAGTAGGCAACCCGAACACACGCGTGCATCCGGGCTGCCTACCCGCCAGGCTGGCCGCAAGTAGGCAACCCGAACACACGCGTGCATCCGGGCTGCCTACCCGCCAGGCTGACTGCCACACTGCTTGGCAATACCGCTTGCCTATTTTCACGGCCCGCATGCGGCGCTCTCTGCTTCTCGTCACTCCTCGTCGACCAGTGTAATGGCGGCCCCGCAGTGCCACCCGGCGCGTGCGCGCGCCAGTCTAGGGTTGCCCCCCGCCACCGCGGCCAAGCCGTCCAGTCACCTCACGCCGCGGCTATCGCGCCTCCCATCGGGATACTAAATGTAAAGGAGTCGGCAACTCCACACGAGCGTCGACCCCCGCGAAGGACATGCCTCGCATTGTAATTGCAATTTATTTTCTATGGCCGCAGTTTATCCGCGGCCGATGCTAATTGCCGCGGTCTGCGCGGTGCCGGAACACTCTCTTCTATGAGGGTTCTTAAGCACTCAACGACAGTTATAACCAGCTTTTTGAACGTTTAAAGAAGCGAAAATTGGTTTTCAGAGTTGGAAAAGGCATCTTCGGTGCGTTACTGTGTGGAGGAGCCCGTCGCGTGACGGTATCGGTTCCGTGGTGCGCGACCTTGCGGGCAGAGGGGGTGGGGGGAGTGAGGGGGAGTGAGAGGGGGAGCGAGCCGAGCCTGACGCACGCTCTGCTGCAGTGAGATGCAGCCAGAGGAAAGAAAATTCCCGCCGTCTTTAAAATATTCCGTCTGCTTCGAAATTTTGTAAACACACCGCAGGCTGTGCCTCAGGCATTGATCATGGGAAGCTGAACTAAAAATATTCAGCCGGTCAATTTAGTCGTCACTGAATCCACGCTTTTTTTTTGCTAGCTCAAGCTTTACGCGCCTGACCTAAAAACTGTCGAAATAGGTTGCTGCAGTCGTTACTACATTCGTCACATTCGTCCAATAATAACAATAATTGATCGTTATCGTCTCGATAATAATACCCGTATTCCGAGTGTCTCTGGACCTCCGGCGTGGGCCGTGTCGTTCGTTCCAGTAACTCCAGAATTGTTTCGACGAGCCTTGCTTTCCGTTCTGGAGCCGCTCGCACAGTGGGCCGGAAGACCGGTGGAGGCCGTCAAAATCCCGATCAAGTTTTGGGCTCCAGAGTCGCCAAACAGGACTCAAACCAAACGTGTGACCCCACCAATGGATTGCTCTCCGAACAAGGAATCCATTGGTAGGGTCACACGTTTGGTTCGAGTTCTGTTTAGCCACTCTGGAGCTCAAAACGCGTCCAGGAGTTTCGGCCGCCAGCGCCCGTCTTCTGGCCCACTGTGGCTCGCCTGCGCGGAAATTCCAGCCCGTCGTTTTTTGGGAAGTAGTTTCTTGACGTAATTGAGGTACGCCATGATGCCAGCTGAGTGCATCCATTGAGGATGGGGGCTCAAGACTTTGGCCCAAATCAGCTGACTATCAGACCGCAGTGTTGCCAACTCGTCGTTGCGTGACAGAGTGGCGTGGTGGCACCACTGGTGGCTCCACTAAAGAGGCAGCTACAGTGGCGCCACCCAGACAAGCAGCGGCGCCACGCAACACCCACAACGGACTCCGTTTTCACGGTCCAAGTTTTTGACTCAGCGGACTTTGCGAAGGAAGGCTCCGGCGGCTTTGGGGCTTTTGAAGCTCGTCGTCAAGAGTGCGGCCTGCTTCGACGGGCGGACAGACGGACAGGCAGACAGACAGACATACAGACAGGCGGACACGCCGGGGCAGCAGAGCTCACACCGGCCGGCCCGACATAATTATAGGGTTCCCGACTCAAGACAGCAGCGGGCTCGGGCTTGGGCTTGACTCGGTTTGAGTCGGCCGAGGCCCGGTTCGGGACCATCGGTACGACCTGGCGGTACGACCTGGCGGTGTACGACGTGGCCGTCGCTGGGGCCTCCACCCCCTCTTTCCTTTTTCCTTTTTCCCGCCAAAGGGGCTCTGTGTGTGTGTGTGTGCCTTTGCCGTGCTGGACCAGAGTGTGGGTACCCTCCCCCGGGGCGGAAGGCCCTGCCTTGCGTTCGATCCGTGTACAACTTTGTTGTGCTGTCCAGCGGCGAGTGGCTTTCGCTTTTCGTCTGGCCACTGAGGGCGGCGGGGGGAGGGGCGAGGGGGACATCATCAGAAAACAGTGTTAATTAAGATTGGCGGAGGCCCAACTAGGATCCCCTCTTCATGAATTGCTGATGCTGGCCCCGGCAGCACCGCAGGGCGACAGTGTGCTTTCGTCGCTCTGTCTCTCTCGCACTCACCGGGCGTATTGGAAGGGTGCGAGGGAGAGAGAGAGACGAAGCAGGCACACGCGCCGGGTTGCCGATGAGTTGGTGTCGGCGCGGGAAAAACCGGCGGAACCGATCTGGAGTTTGGTGACTTCGGCGTATTGGGTGCGTGGTGAAGCTGTATCGCGTGTGGAAATCAAGAGAGAAAAACACGAAAAACGAGTAAGACGCAACAGTACACCGTTTCTTTCCCGTCTTGTGGACGAGCGGCAAAAGGCGGATATACCGGCAGCCCGCACGTCCTGCTTTTGTCCGAATACATTACGTCTTTTTTTACTCGGCTTTTTCACGTTTATTCTTCCTTCCGTTTCCTGCGCGGCGTCTTGTTTACCTAGTCATTGTCCAATTGAACCTCTCCCAGCACCCCCGCCCCTTTCTGCCTCTGCGCCACATCTCAACGTCATTTTTACAACATTTCCTACACTTTTTCTGGAAATACTTTTAAAAAATTGTCATATTTTTGTTGTAGATTTTTTGTTTGGTAATACATTTTGCGGTTATATTTATCTGTCCGTTTTTTTTGCTTGCATTTTTTTATTTCATTTTTTTTTAAATTTTTACTTTTCTGTTCGATAAATTCTGGAAACTTGTGGCTTATGCCCGGTCCCCCGAGGCCTGCACCGGGGCTGGCAGTGATTAGGTTTCCATGTGGAGCTCGCGCTTGGACCTGTTTTGCAAGTCGGAGAGGCTTTGATACAAATCCTGCTCATATTCTGTTT